TATCGAACAAGTCGGCGCCATTCAGCGAGAATATGGGCTGCTCGAGCAGTGCACATCATCGCGTTGTAGAAAATTTCTGCATACTACGACCGGTCCTCTGGAGACCCAGTATTCCTTCATCTCAGCCTAGTCCTGCGAACTGTAACAAGCACCTGTCATAGTTGTCCTTTCAGACACACTACGTTCGGTCAAGCCCACTAATCGCTCTGTGAAGGTGCAAAATTTTGGGCAGCCACAAGAGGATTCCGAACAGCATCAAATCACTGTAAAAGACGTCGATGGCCAGTCTATATGCATGGTGAGCGGCATTTGATTATTCACAGATTGGTCTTCCACAAACGAAACATGCTAATCGCTTCGTGACTGCAGAACGGCGGCGGTAATCCACTGTTCCAAGTGAGCGAGTGGAAACGTCTTACCCTCCTGGGCATTCAGTCCCCGAATAAGAAGTCTTGCATGGAGCTGGTACTTGCCAATAAAGGAAGTGAGTTTTCAGAGTGTTCTGTTTAGTATTTTCAGCACCTGCAGTAAGGCTGAGAAGTGATCTTTTTCCCCACTGGCTATCGTGTTCCCCTCCTGAGGGCAAAAAGAGGTATTTCCAAGTGCGCCATGAGGGCGGCTACGATTGTCCAGATAAAAGATAGGGAGGAACGTAGTCTTGATCGCTGTACATGCCGGGGAGGGGCGCGTCACTGAGAGTGGGTTTAGAGCGGCGCCGACCCGATCTCCACCAGTTGTTGAGGCGAGCAAGCGACAATAATTGGTGGAAAAGGGACTGACGCCGCGCCAAACCCGCCCCCTTCCCATCTCCCCTCTGACATGCCCCAGCATCCGCAACGAACGAGACTATGCATAATCCTAAGGGAAAGGAGTGGCTATGCCTAGGTAGCGCGGCGCACTGGGACCCCCCTGCTGCTCTTCACTATAAGCTGTATACCTAACTTACTCAATTTTTTTTCTAGGCGACATCCATTTCGCTGATATCCGCTACCAGGTCGATTGGGTTTGTGCGACTACAGGTAAAGAAATATTCCTCCGGCTTGACCGGAGGATTATTTGCTTTGTGATGCTCCACGAGTTCGAACCTAGCTGAGAGCCAATCAAAACTGTATCAGACCTATGCAGCGCCTTGCACGGATAGCACATATACTTCAAATCTCTAAGGTGGGCGTGGCTGCGCACATCATTTGAGCGAGGCAGCCGCTTTGCTTTCGATGGGATTTTTGGGACAGTTGTTACTCAGTCTCTGAATAACATAAGACGGGATGCATAAATGGAAATATCCGCGCCATTCTTATCGCCCTAATGTGGAGGGAAAGCGGATAAGAGAATCGTAAATTGCCGCTCCATCGCGCGGCGATGAGCGCGGCGTTTTCTTAACTCGTTTTAACCTGTCCATTAGAGCATTCTGAATTGCCTGTTGTCGCCATCTACTACCTGGAACCATCGTCATTTGCGGGCGCGACGTCGCACGCGACGCCACCAGCGCGGCGAATTACGATTCTCTTGTCACATACCCGATGTGTAGTGCACCGCGAGGCTTTATCTCTGATTTTCACTTCTTTGTGCATGTTGAGTTTACCTTTTTTCATGAAAATACAGTTCTTTCAGGCATCTGTCCCAGGAACATGAAACTAAAAACCGATAATTGTGATGAGTCGAAAGGAGAGATATGCGGTCATACATACCTTGTTGTTCTGCTTAACGGCACTGCCCAAAACTAACAGACCGAACAGTGAATGTACGAAAATAAACTGCACAACAAACAGATTGTTTAAATAAATAGTTGCAGATAAGGAGTGAAGATTTTTCCTAGAATACAGTGGAAAACTGAGAAGATAGTCCGCGGTTTTTTGCGATCTAGAATTTCTTCCTTTGCCCAGTTGCGCCGCACTGATTCCTATCCTACTATATATAATCCGCTAAGTATGTCTGTGTGTGTGTGTGTGTGTGTGTGTGTGTGTGTGTGTGTGCGTCTGTCTGTGTGTCACGAAATTCATAGCGAGCGTCGCAGAAAAGATAGGATGACAGTTCCAAGAAGTGATATACATGGCAGGACGGGAACACTTTTGGTGGGTGTCAGGAGGTGATAACACTTGATAAGATACGATAAGGGGCCGTAGAAGGGGAGGGTGACTGAATTCGTAGCGCAAGTTGCAGCAGGTGTGGGACCGTGATTTCAAGGAGTGATATACATGGCAGGACGGGAACACTTTTGATGGTGACAGGAGGTGATAACACTTGATAAGATTCGATAAGGGGCCTTAGAAGGGGGGGTGACCGAAATCGTAGCGCAAGTTGCAGCAGCTGCGGGACCGTGATTTCAAGAAGTGATATACATGGCAGGACGGGAACACTTTTGTGGGTGACAGGAGGTGATAACACTTGATAAGATTCGATAAGGGGCCTTAAAAGGGGAGGGTGACCGAATTCGTGGCAAGTTGCAGCAACGGCGGGACCATGATTTCAAGTACTGATATGCCGTAGGGTGGGGCTGGCAGAAGCTGATAACAGTTGATAAGATCCGATAAGGGGCCTCGGAAGAGGAGGGTCATCAAATTCGTGGCGCAGGTTACAGCAACAGTGGGAACTCAGATCCGTGAGGTGATATAGGGTGTGGGACGGGAACATTATTGGCGGGCGACAGAAAGTGATAACAGTTGATAAGATACGGTAAGCGGCCTCGGAAGGGGAGGGTCATCAGATTCGTAACGCAGGTTACAGCAACAGTGGGACCTCTGATCCGAGAGGCGATACAGGGTGATATGATAGTGATACGGGACGGGAGTGTTATTGGCGGGTACGGAAGTGATAGGAGCTAAAATTGACAAGGTAGCATGGGAAAATCCGCTTCACCGCTCACAACAACAATGCGATCGATATGACTCAAGTATAACGATCTCAGTGATTCCAACAGAACTCATTCCTCACTGCTTATTAGTAACGACATCGTGTACGACCGCTAAGCCAGCTCTATTCCAAATGCATGTGGTTTGTTTACAGAGATGTTATGAACAGCAGCAACTGACTTTATCACTCTTACCACAATTATCTTCCATCAGCAACTTCAGTGAGGGCCATTTAAAGGGTTCCACTGCTGAATGCGGTAGTACGCATAGTGGTAAGCGTAAAGGTAAGTGTAGTGGTAAGCGCTGCTTTTCAGTTCTTGGCTGATGCAGAAGATTCCTCTGAACAGTGTGATTGGTCAACGATCCTTAACTTAGCACGCGGCAAATCCGCATGGCCCGGCGAAGCCGAGCTATGTCACAGAAGGAGGAGCGCCCGGCGACCAGGCCGGGGCGATCCGACTGGTTTTCGATAACGCCACGAGCTCTTTAAATCGACTCTATTATTCGGCGTAGCATAGATTTGTAGAAGTCTTTTCCTCCATAACACTCTTTGAACGCCAACATACAACTCGAATCCTTAGAGATGCGTAGACGTGGCGGCGCGGTTTTTTCACCAAACGTGGCGGTTAATAAGCTTTTGGATAAATATTTCCATTTTGACACAATTGTGGTCGTGTCTCTATCCAATGCAGAACAAGATGACAGTTGTCTCAAATTGAAATATCCCACGAGCTACCTGTCCTATGGCATGTTCAGATGCCACGCCCACTCCGTCTCAGGGATAAGGAGTGTAGTGTGTGGATGCAGATCACATTTTGGGGCCTGATTTCGTATTCATTTTATATATTTATTTATGGATGTACTAACGTACCACTGACAAAGAAGACAAAGATTTGAGGTGCACCATCAACAAAGGAGAATGAGAAATACCGTTGCCATTGAGTAGTCTGGAAGCGTTAGCCCACCTTAGTATGAAGTTCAGAGAAATAATATAGTAGGGCAGAGGATCGCCAAAAATCAAGCTGGCCAGTTATACTGATAAGGAATTGCCAATAAAGGTCGACACATTGACTAAAGTTGAGTCACTTCGGACTGAAAAAAATTTGACAGAAGGTATTTGACAGACCATCAGCCGGAACAAGGCAACTAACTGTGGTTATGCCGGGGCAAGCCGAAGGCCCCTCTGATCCATATACAAACTGAATTATAGGTTCAAGAAGTTAGGACGCATACCTTGGGTAGCGTTCAGACTTGTAGCACTACGTAGCGTTACGTAGCGCTACAGGTCTGAACGCTGCCTTACCCCTTAAAATTGCGCGTGGAATTCATTGTGCTCCTCGTAAATACACACA